CGCCGAACTTGTCGGAAGAAGGGCCGGAGCTATGAGTTAATTTTCTTCTCTTTTTGGGATGATCTAACTTTCCCTTGCCCTTATTAGGTGGTCGAAGTGGCGTGATCTTTGTGGAAATCTCGAAGCAAGTCCCTAAAACTCTAAAATAAAGAACATCACAACTGTTATAAATAAAGTACAAGTTACATAAAGAGAGACTCAGAAGCTTCAGAGTAATGGGTCTGCACAGTACTGCCATTTGTCCCTAACCTAGAACCATTATTCTTTCCAACCCATTATAGATGATGGTAGACCCACCACAAAAGGAGCATTCCCTGAGGAGTCATGTAGTACCATCCTTTAGACTCTTCTTTCCCAAGCACCCGGGGTTGAAGGTGTTTGGAAGACATGAAGGGGCTTGTCCTCACTAAGCGAGGTCTCCTTCCAAAGGAAATATGCCCCGACCAATTGGCTCCACCTATTTGGAAATAAATGGGTAGGAGCCAATATGTAGGACCTCAGCACTATCCTAAAAAATGGGTGTAGAGGTAGACGTACACCCGCCCTACACATGAACTCACTAATTGCCACACATCCCGACCTCGGATAGCAGGCACGTTCGTGGGCTTCAAGCACTAAGAGTTCTATGGAATCTGGGATTCTATGTTTTTTCCTAATTTCAACCAACTTTGTGGAGGTCATTGCAGAGGGTATTCTTGCAACCCTACTCTGCCTTATATTCAATGGGGCCTCACTCATCGCCCAATAACTTCCATTCGACCCCCCAAGCGTAGCCTGTTCCCCAACCTTGGCAATGGTGACCCTCCCACCGCTAGCACTCGACCCCGAAAGCAATTAAAATCAAAAAAAAAAAAAAAGATGGAAAGGATGGGAAAATAGAAAGTTTCAAGGAAATTGCCTAAACAAAAGGAAACTCTAGTAATGCAATGTCGTCGAACAACAGGAATGACCAGAATAGTTTTTCTATTGCCTTAGATTGATGCTTGCCTCTCATGTACGAGCCTCGACGCATAGATCTGAACTTGTAGCAAGGTAGCCATCATTGCGTATTCAATACGTAATGGTTGTACGTGTATTTGAAGTTTAAACGGTTCAGTTATCTTTCCTTGGTAACGTACAAAACATCAAATCATTGGCACAATTCTCAAAAACATAATTTATTGACAAAAAAGGAGATCCTCAACAGTTTAGCCATTCCTACTTCGGCTCAAAAGGAAAATTTTAGCTACTTTCAAAACAAGAGCCTCAGTAGTTCAGAACGAGAGTTTCGGTAGTTCAGTCTTTTCCAACTTCAGCTCAACAAGCAAATATCAGCTATTTTCAAAATGAAAGCTTCAGCAGTTCAGCCTTTTTTCTGCTTTGGCTCAACAAGGAAATTTCGACAACGCGTAGAGCTTTCGCGTTTTAGCATTACATAAGGATAGGATGCAAGAATCAGGTTTAACTTCAAACTCCAACTATGATATGAATAACCAAACTTGGGAGACTATTATGTTGGTCAAAAACCTAACAGTAACAACAAACATGCTTTAAAGAAATTTGGCTCAAGATAGAAGTCCATGCATGAATTTGGGGGACTATTGTTATGAAGGCCACTTAGACTCTCACGTGGCTCAATCGACCTCCCGAAGCCATGTGGCATCCAACATGGAGTAGGAACAACTAGAGTCCAGACAATCCGACCCGTCGAAGTCCACTCATACCGAACTCATGAAGTTGCCCCTTCCGAAGCCCTATGTTAAAGACAAATGTGAGGTCCAAACGAAACGTTTTTGCCGAAGTGACGATGTCCAATCCGAGGCTCAATTAAGACTGGTGACAATCCACATTTAAAGATCTTGAATTTATAAAATCCTTTTAGAATGATTGATTGGAATATTGTAATGAGTAAAAAGGTCAATCTTGTCAGCATAGGTTATGGGATGGCTACATCCTTTTTGGGACATTTAATGCGACACAAGCTAGTAGAGTCAAAATTGATAACTAAATGTGATGCCTCAATAAAGGAAATGAAACCACGTGTCCTCCCATCCAATGATGACTGTTTCATATGTAACATTATAAATATCTCTCATTTGTGTTATTTGGGGTTAATGAAAAGATATTGACTACAAGCCATACATTCTCTTTCTTTCCGATGAATCTTGGATTTTTAGTGTTGGAGGTGTGATCTTGATTGTGAGTTTAGCTCTTAGTTGGGCGTTCATTATCACGTAATTTATCTCATATATTTTGCCAGAACTCGAACATTTTATTCTTTTGTTATAAAGCTTCTCCCACATCCAATCCTATTTTATTGTCGATTGACTATCGTTCCACGTGTGTTGGAATTAGGTTTAGAGAACACGAGTGGGCCCAATTTATGTTGTTCATGTTTACGGTGCAAAGAACGAGGTCAAATTCCGAGATCAAGTGGAACATGAAGAAAATAGGCTGGCCTATGTAATTGCAATGCCAATATCATGTGATCTCAAAGCTTGTAAATTCAATACCAACACGTTCAATGCCAATACCATACGATCGCAAGTGATATAACCATGTGATTGCATGTCATTCTGAAGCAGGCCATGTTGTGTTCCCTATTTTGATTAATTTCTACATGGGAAAGGTTTAACACAGGAGTTTAACCTAATTTTTGGGGGGCTATAAATATAATCTTAACCTTTTCTTCCAGGAGGAGAAGCTTTTGGATTAAAAAAAAAAGACTTAATCTTTATAAGATTTTAGAGAAGCCTTGATACAAAACATATATTCTTATCCAAATTTCATAAGTCTTTGCTTGGATTTTAAAGGAGAAAGAGGGGATTCTAAAAGATTAATCAAGAACCATTTGAGAGATCAAGATTAATTTTTATCTTCTTTCTCCTCTTTAAATTCGGCTGACATGTTATATTAATCTAATTCTTATTTTTGTAATCATATGATGCTTTGCTAATTGTATAGATGCTAGGATAATTCAATAACATTGAACCCTATGTCATAAAGTTTTGATATTAAATTCCAAATTTTGACATCAAAAATTTGTTTGCTTCGAATGATTGTTAAGATTCTAATACTTTTCAATTACATGGCCATTAGTGAATTGGATTTGTTATTTTATTGACATTTGAGAGAAGGGGTATGAATTATAGCACATAGCAATTATCATTGTAAGTCCAACACAGGATAAAGTTATCTTGATATGCTTTGCATGATTCAACGAATGTTATTGTTATATTGATATATTATCATCCTTCATTGAGATATGATTCATATGTAACGATATATTTAATTCTACTAAAGCAATATTATTAAATAAAATTATGAACATTTATCTTCAAGTTCAAGAAAGTGTTGTAAAATTATTGGATATCAATTAAAATGGAAGAACACAGAGGGATTCGAAATCATACGGCTTGTCATTAATTGAGCTTCAAAACTGATTTCCAATTAGTTAGTTTAATTATTAGATTAGTTAAAGTTTGATTTGAAATCACACTGCTTGTCATTAATTGCTGATTGAATGGTGATTGATGCAACAACAATATGAAACATAATAAAGGTAAGTTCTCATTTTATGCAATATGATTTTTTAGTGTGATATGCGAACTTAATGTTTGTACAGTAAAAAATAAAAATGATGGGTACCTTTTCTGCTCAGATTAATTGAGCATCTCATTTTCCTTCATTACTTTTTTTCCTATATTAATTGAGCCTAAAATATTCGTACGTGAATATGATTTCACAATTCACGAGCCTAAAATATTCGTACTTCTCTTATGAAAAAAATTTATTATTTGTGCTTTGATTTTTTTTTATTGATTATACATGAAACAAACTAGATCCGATCAAAATCAAATGGTTTGGTTTCAGCTTAGTTTCGTAATTACACGAACCGATGGTTCCATAAGTATAATTTTAATTGATTCTCGATTCAATTTTATTCTCTTTGAAATTGGACCACACTCACCCTTAAGTATTGTTTACATTCTTTGACATGACACACAGTTTTACAATTAATTTTAAAGCCCCCCGGGGCACATCCGACTTGGCAAAGGATGTGCATTGTTGGGATTGTAACCTCAGGATGGGAGTTCGATTTCTGGATGGAGTAGCTGAGTGTTGTAATTTTTAATTTCACAAGCATTCAATCATTCCGATTCCACATATGAATGTTACTTCTGAAGGGCAAATGAGGATTGTAATACTCAATTTGGGTGGAGCAGTTTGGTGATTTAATATCCATGGAGTAAGGCTCCCTTGGGGTCAGGAGTATAAAGGGTACACGGACCCTAGTCAACTTGGGCATATCCTGCGGTTAACCTCCACTCATCTCTGAGGGGCCGGGGATGGGTGGTCCAGGGTATAGTCTCGTGTAAGTTGGGATACCTGAATATCAAAAAAAAAAAAATCTTATATAAAAAAACAAGTGAAAAGCGGCAAAATTCATTCAAAATAAACAACAAATACATATTCACCATCTAAGATATGCATATTGAGGGCATGTTTGAGCCACATTTTTATTGTAAAATTCATTTTGAAATAGTAAATTAATAGATAATGTATAGTTAAAAATGAAAGAAAAGTTTTTGGATTGCGTGTAATATTATTGTATTAAAAAATGTGTGGTTGAAAAGAAAAGAGAGAAAAATATATTTGAAAAAGAACGAGAATCAAACAAGTTCTTCTTGTTCTTCTTTCATGAAATTTGAATTCTATTTTTCATGGAAATTTTAGCATATCAAACGGCCTTAAATTTTTTATTTTTCTCCCTCGCCAATTTTAGTAATCAATTCAAAAAGTAGTATTGAGTTTGAGCTTCCAATAGATGCACATCCTTGTATACCTACGTGGTCAAGTTCAAAGCCAAGTATTTGCATTTAACACAATCCTGTCAGATTTTCTCTCATCCATAAGGTACAAATCTAGATAAGATGATAAGCGAACGTGGCAAAATCATACAGTATATTCACTTCCCTTACCAAAAACACAAAACTCTTTCTATTCCCACAATCTAAGCCATGGCTTCCCCAACATTGATCACCCCTGCCACTTCCACACCAAAATCCCTCATACCTATCAGATCAAAACTAGCCACCACCACTGCCACCAATGCCACAACCGCATTATCCACTCGTCGCCGCGACTTTTTATCTCTTGCGGCTGGTTTCATCTCTCCAGTTTTACTCCTCCCAGTAACACCTGCCTGGGCCGCCTCAGAAGAAGAGTACGTAAAGGAGACGGAGGAAGTAATCAACAGGGTCAGAACCACCATTTCTATGGGCAAAAATGACCCTAACATGGATTCTGCTGTGGCTCAGTTAAGGGAAACATCCAACTCTTGGGTGGCCAAGTATAGGAGGGAGAAGGCTTTGCTGGGCCGAGCCTCATTTCGTGATATCTATTCGGCGCTTAATGCTGTTTCCGGCCATTATATTAGCTTCGGCCCGACAGCACCAATCCCGGCTAAGAGGAAGCAAAGAATCCTTGAAGAGATGGACACTGCTGAGAAATCTCTGTTGAGGGGAAGATGAAAAGGGCTATTTTGTGAATTGTCAAGTTTTTTGGGTATATTTCTAATTTCGTAATTTACTTATGAGGTTTAAGATGCAATGAGGTTTATCGTTTTAATTTCTAAGAAGAGAATAATATATACAAGTATTTCAAAAGTGTAGAATACTTTAAAGTTTTAGTTACAACACGTTTGATTTAAAACATTAAGTAATAGTAGATGTTTGAATGAAAAGAATTTAAAATTTTATTTATATAAGCATTTAATTAAATCGATATTATGTGCTAAACGTACTGTTAAATTAGCATTTGGGTGACATAATTCTGTCACCATAAAACTTGGCAAAATTTCAATATTCCAAACAACTCTCCATCCGGTTACTCTAACTTGAGTAGTGATCGCATAAATGCACATTACAAAACAAGAAACATATTAAACATTGTTATGCGTATTTTGAGTCTGGGCATGCTTATTTAAATTTAAGAAAAATCGGTCAAGAGAACAGTAAAAATATTCACATCCTAAATATTACATATGAAATAAACACCTAAGTGAACACTCTCAAAAAGCCAAAAACATACGTGAACTCAAAATGAGCTAAAAGCACTCTTTTGGAAAAACCTTCAGAAACGACCTCAATCGAAGTTAAACAATATAGTTGAGCAAAAATAAAATGATTAAACTGGTTAATAAAACGTGAACAAATAAAAGATTTAGTTAGAAGTCACTGCCACATGTAATAATAGTAAGAAAGACACATCAAACCAAAGCCTGAATAGAAATAACCATAGTATTACTATTTTGAGAAAATCGTCAAAATCTGTGTAGAAATGAGTCAAACACAATCAAATCCAACTAAAATATAAGCATTAGATTATGACGAGGATTTTCCTCGAAATGATCTTAGCGATAGCCAAACTGTGAAAAGATATCATGAGAAATCTAAAAGTGATCGAAAAACTCTTAAGGGAATAATAAGGCTGCTGATTGATCACGATTAAGAATGAAGACATCAAGATTCCGTACAAAAAGTAAACCCGTTGGAAATAAATTAACTTCAAAAAGGCATAAAAATAAAGGTAATTCGAAATCTATAACTCCTTCAATTATATAAAAATGGAATCACATATTTTGAAGATCACCGCAATAGAGTTTGCATTTTACGGCATGCATTACATACCGTAAAACATTCTTTACACCATACATGTGAATTCCGCATAAAGCCATGCCGTAAATACTTCTCCCTTTTCACGGCATGCAATGTATGCTTAAAAACACGAAATTTATGAAGTTAATGAACTTTTTATGCGTGCTATTTTAACTTTTTAAGGCGTACATCTACATGTCGTAAATATTTTAACTTTTTATTGCTTACAGCTGGATGCCGTAAAAAACGAAAAGAACATAGTGAATGAACGAAACATCGTAAATACTTTAACTTTTTATGGCGTGCAGTTACATGCCGTAAAAAAATAGGGTATTTTACGGCATATTTTTATGCAAGCTGTAAAAGTCTATTTAGATATTTTACGGCGTGCTCCCTCATGACTAAAAAGTTTTTTACGACGTGTGCACATGCATGCCTTAAATGTCCATTTAATTTTTTAAAATATTTATTCATTTAGTTACAAACAAATAAAAGTCAATTAAATAACATAAAAATATAAATCAACACATATATAATCATGTCTTCCATAATTTAAAGAAATAAAAGTATTGAGTGCAATCCAATACAATATGTCAAAATGTAAAGTTAATATTAATAGTTACTAAGAACATCATTAGCCTACTCAAATTGTTAATAGCAATATATCAAAAGTATCTACTACTCCTACTTAAAAAATAACTGATTAAAATAGTACAAAATAATTGAGTCATGTCGAAGTTTGATTCTTTGATCAACGTCTAGCTATTCAAAACAATCAATGCCGTTCACATCACAAAAATAAATAATAAGGGTATGCATAATAAACTTAGAGCTAACACGCAAATGACAAATGATATCCAAAACAATAAAAAGCAGTAAAATGAGCAATCATAGAGAAAACAAGTAGTCGACCCACAATGCAAGGTGTTGATTTTGAGAAGCGTGTGAAATGTTATATTTGATAATGAAATGAATAAGCTAAACTAAAATAAAAANCCTCACATGAATAAATTTTTTTTTTTATTCATGTGGGGTCCACCCCTTGTGAGAGGATGGACACCCTTAGGTAACCCAAATTATTCAAAATAAATAGAAAAAAAAAAGTGAAGCATACCTTTGTGGAGATTACAACTAATCCACTTCGATGAATCTAATGGCCATCCAACTGTACTTTCTAATGCATCTTCAAGAAGAAAAAGCTCACATATGGGATGATGTAAGGCAACTTATCAATCACTTTATTAACCCAAACTCTTCAACATTCATCAAATGGTACATGATACACCATATCACATGGATTTGTTTGTGCAATTTCACCATTTGCAACAATATCATCTTTTCCAAACCAACGTAACAATTTACATTTCTTACTCTGAAGGTTATCTAAACCATTCAAGCTTTTGTCTCTATAGTATGAAATTCATATCAAATTACAATTTATTACTTTGAATATAAAAAAGAATATGAAATATAGAATATCATTCATTAATGATAGTTTTTCACTTAAGGGTCTGTTTGATTGCAAATGTGGAAAATGGGTGGGAAGAAAATGAATTATAGGGAATTGAATTGTCTAGAAATTGTTTTACTGAAAATTGTAATTTGTATTTGATTGGTATAATTTTCCACCTGAAAATGGTTGAAAGTTTGGTGTCCGTTTGACTTTCTTTTTCATGAAAATTATCCATTACAGTGATAATTTCATTTACCATTGGGTCTAAAACTTGTTTCACTTGCCAAAAAAAAAAAATTTAATTTTTACCATACCGAATATCATTCGTTTGGCTTTGTTTTGTATGAAAATTGTTAATAAAAGTGATAAATTTTTTTTAACATTATATCTAAAAAATTTTCCAATTGCTTCAAAAAAAAAGATGGAAAATCAATTCCCACCAAAATGGTGGGAATTGGTTTTCCACAAAACCAAGGAATTGCTGAGCATGTGAGCCAAAGTAGGAAAATCTTTTCCATGGAAAATAAAGTGTATCAAACAAGGTAAAAGTGGAAGTTGAAATTTGTTTTCCATTTTCCATGGAAAATAATGCCCTGTCAAACATGACCTTATATTTTCTTTTTCAACACTTTTACTCTTCAGTTGAAATAAAGATTTTAATTCTTTAGTTTCATCTCTCAACTCTTGGACTTGAGTTTGCAAGTTCTGATCATGCACCAAAGCATTCAGCTTTGAAGGAGTTGTGTTGAAGCCAAGCCCTCTTACTCATCCTCGACGTTTAGGACCATTACTCTTGCAACAACATCATATTTGAGAGAATGTTTACTTGGAGAGTAATTATTTCTGAACATGCATTTATATTTTCTGATATCAAGAATTACATTAAACCGCCCTCTTACATTAAGCATGGAGGGTTTTTCTGATATCTAGAGAATGTTTGGATTGCTTGGCCCCAAAAATTTGATAAAGAAAGAAAACCCCCACAAACTTTTGCCTTCAATTATTTAGCACTCATTTGATTGAAGTATATATTTTCTTGTGTATTAGGCCTAAAGAGATGAGGAAAAACTGTCGGCTTCGATGGGTAAATTAACTTCATCCAAACTTTAAACATGGAGAGTTTTCTATAGAAGAAGATAACATAATTTGCAGCCCCTATATAAGTATTGGAAGCAGGTAAAATGATGTAATCTAGCTTGAATATCACTCTCAATAAATGAACTTTATCCTTAAATTGTATTAGCATGTGGTCTATTATTGCAACACAATTGCCTGGAAGAACTGATAACAATATAAAGAATTATTGGAATACGAGACTGAAAAGGAAACTATTGGTGAAGCAGCGCAAAGAAAAACAGGCTAGTAGAGGACACTTGCAAGCGTGAGCAACAATTAAAGGAAAGAAAAGCTCCACCATTTCAGACAAAATAAATAACCAGAATCCTTACATTCCATAGTTACCTTTGCTTGCCACCTATACCCCAGTCAAAGCTCGAAGGGAGATTTTCTAGTAATGATCAGATTGGTAGAGATGAAATATCAGTATCCTAACAGCAATTCACTGGTGCAAATGTACACCAACAATCCGTTGATGATTTGGTACCTGTTAATCCAATGAAAGTAATTAACACAAGTCCTACTCTAGCACTACCAGAAGCTCAATACACTATTAACGAGGTGAATATGTCTATATTTCTAGGACAAAGAAATTTGCCAAGTGAACTTGATCATATAAACTTTTGAAAGATAAAAGATATCAATGAATAAATTGGAATGAAGCTGAAAGCTCTGTATTGATTACTAAATGAAAATCTGTGTTTTGTAGAAAGGGGAATGTAATGAATATATACAGCAATAAATGAAATCTTTTCCTAACAAACTACCTAAATAATTTACATGTGAAAACAAAACAAACTTAAACAATACAATTTGTACAAAGCAACTTAACTATTCTCATTCTAGGGAATTCTTTGTTGTATCATTGTCACCAATCCATCTTGGCCTTTTTCTTGCTGACTGTGACATGCTTCGGCTGACTTGAATCTTACAGCTTCAATAGCCCTCGCAAGATGGAGAGTAGATGTTTATTACTCCCATCTTGGATAGACACGAATAAAAACTTTGTGAACTTAAAGACCCAAAAAAATCAGCAATCTGTGAACTACTGGAAACATGTTGAATCACAATCCTCCCATCTTGTATCTTGTCTCGAACCAAATGACAATCGAGTTCAACGTGTTTCGTTCTTTCGTGAAACATGGGATTTGTAGCTATATAAATAGCTGCCTTATTGTCACAATTTAGGATAACTGCTTCAGGATGCTCGATTTTTAAGTCCTTATGTAAATATCCAAGCCAAGTAAGTTCACAACAGAGATTCGCCATTGCCCTGTACTTTGCCTCTGTAGAAGATTGAGACACC